TTTTTTTTTTTTTTTTTTTTTTTTTTACATCTTTGTTGTCTCGTCATTATTCATTTTTTTTTTTTAAGTTTGGGGGTATAATTGAAACTTACTCTAGAGTATTATATGCATTTTAACCTAATATTTAAGTAGTTTTATTTTGCAAAAAAAAAAAAAAAAATTGTTAGCATTGTTCTAAAAAACATGGGTTTTTGGTGTTTAGAGGGAACGAAAACGTAACTAAAATTTTGTAATGTTATGAACGTCGAGAAAGGAAAAACAAATCTCTATTTGATTACCATTTTGCTTCATCATTTCTGTACTATTAGTTTCATTTTTTAAAAAAAGTTAAATTTTTAGTCAAATTTCCAAAATAAAAAGTTTATTTTTTCAAATTTGAAAAAATGTGGATAATAAAACATGGAAAGATTAAAATAAGAATTTGAGGGCAAAAAAGTCAAATTTTTAATTTGAATTTGATATAATTTTATCAAATTGAAGCTTAAACCTAGAACAATAATTTCACCCATAGAGTGGCTAAAAATAATTTCACGAAATATATTTTCCATATAAAACTAATAGAGTTTCAGAGAAAAGCATGATTTTTGTTAGAATTGACGAGATTTTGAACATATTGGTTGATTTTAGGTTGTTGGCGTAAGTTTGTGAAAACCATGATTTTTTTTTTCTTTTTCTTTTTCTTGAAATGAATGGATAATGAGAGAATTATATATTTCTTATTCTTAAAATTAGTTTCTAAATTTAATGGATTTTTAATATAATAAAGTTGGTGCAATCTTTTTTTAAATTCAATAATTGTAAGGTTGAATCATCGACTTTTGAAATGATAATTAGTGTCTTATCTATTGAAATATACTTAAATTGACATTTTTCAAGTACTTTTTGCTACGATGAGAGAACAATGCATCTTATTAAAACTTTGATAATACCATAAGCACGGGATTGAAGTTGAAATTACTTTTATGCCCCTCTAGAATATTACATAGTTTTCCCTATCTCTACTACTACAATTTAATAACCAATAGTAAGTTAATGACCAATTAACCCATAAAGTTTTTAACTTTTGCACATCCAAATTTAATAACAAGATTATTATTGTTATTATTTGGAAAAACTTTAGAAGATTTTTAGAAGGTATCACGTGTCCTTAATCGGTAAAATTTATGAGTTTTTCATAAATTCAACCAAATCTCCTTTATTCAAATAAATCTAAATGGTATGTTATGCAAATCCCAGAATTCATAGAGATTACTGTTACTTTTAAATAATATTTGTTAACAAATAAACATTTTTCACTATTTAAAATATGTTTAATCAATTAATAAAGTTTGTTTATATTAACCAATAGCGTGGGCGTGCCGGAGTGGTTATCGGGCATGACTAGAAATCATGTGGGCTCTGCCCGCGCAGGTTCGAATCCTGCCGCTCACGTTTATTTTTTATTTTTTTTGGTGCGCGCGCGCCAAATTCTGAAATTATTCCATAGATATTCATCGATCATCACCAATTTCTTAAAACCCACAAATCAAATATGATTTTTACTCTCATTGATTTGATCGATTTGTCTCATCCTTCCATTTCCTTTGCTTCGTTCTCCTCTGGGTTTTCGCCTTCACAAACAGAGACTTGAGGTTGAAATTGAAGCGATTCCATTCAAACCTTCCATGATTTCCCGGAAGAAAATGCGCCCATCTTCAGGTAAAACCACGCTCGATTAATCGTTTAATGGCTGATATTAATGCACTCCACTTTTTCAATTTTCCTTTTGGTTCTTCTTTGCTTAGTTTTTGTCGTACTATTTCGCATCGATTGCAAGAGAGTGGTCGTCGAGTGGCTTCACGTCTCTCTCAATTGTGATTGATAACTCTTTTCATTTTAATATTCGACGTCGCAGTCTTTTCGCAATGTAATGATGAAAGAAACAACCAAGGAAACCCCCCATCCCACTTTCCCTGGCTCTCAGTTCATTTCCCTTATCCAAATCGAACTGTTTTTTTTATCATTTCTTCAATAATGAGCTGGTTTGTTCTTATGATAGGGGTTTGAGCGAATCTTCCTTGTTTTTCTTCATGTTCTGCTCTTGAGACCACTTTTTTTTCTTTAACTTGGTTCTGTAATGGAATATGTCAGAGCTGTTGAAATCATTTGTCTCTCTGAGTTGGATAGATCAGAGAGTTGATGGCATCGGAATCAACAAGGATATTGAAAATTTGGGAGTTGAAGAGTCGATTTCTTCTATTTTTGACATTGAAAATGGCATATTCTTTACCTTGTCTTATCATCTGTTATATACATGAATCAAAATTAAATTTTATCGTTTGCAAGATCGTCAATATTGTACCGAGGGTGTTTTTAGAGTATACCAAATCAGTATAGCTATCCTTCTTTAAATGCAGCAACGCAATTTCACAATCAATATTGAAATGAAGCACTAAATAATTTGTTTCTTTCTTTTCTTGGTGTTTGTCAATGTAGAATCATGTACCATTCATTCAATAGAAAATTATGAAAATTCCTGGATGTAGTATTACGGGTTCTCTCGATTATTGGCTTCGGGCTAAACAACGAAAGTTGAATATTATAAGAGGAAGGAGATTCTCATCATCCCCAAATTTAATTAAATTTTGATTTGAAATCCAGAAAAGCACTCTCAGGGGTTGCCATTGGTTGTGTGGGGAAGAAGAGATCCTGAGTAAGATAATACAGTGCTTGTGAAGCTTGCATTACCCATTAAGCCACACAATTCCCAAAATAAGATCCTTGTTAGACTAACAGGAAGGAGAGGCTTCTCTTTCTTTCTTTTGTCTATTCTATTCTTCTTTTTCCACCCAGTGATGATGGCACATGGATGACATAGCAGTAGCCTTTGCCTTCTTATAAATTATGTGTTGAGGAGTCAATTTAGACATGTCTCCTTCTTAGCAGTTAGCTCAATTAGTGGGTCTTTATAAGCATAGTTCTCTTGCTTTCATTCTCACTATGCTGTTTTCTTTCAATAGGGTGTGGTGGAATCTCAGGGTAATTTTGTTTGGTTAGAAGGAAAGATTGAGAGAAAAATGGAGGGAAAGTCTAATGGATATCAGACCTCCTCTTTTGTTGCCGATCTTTTCGATGTCGAGGAGTCGCCATTGTCATCAGCATCAGGAGTTCTTGCAGCAATGTTTCCTTCTCCACAGAAGGTAATGCTGCTCTTTTTGAACTGCTCCTTGCTACATAGAACTTTGTTTCTCCTTTTCAAATAGGGTTAGATTTTGTCACAGAATTCCTAATGATAATGAAGATAAATACATGTAAACGAGACTTTACATGGTGAGGATTTGGAAGTTTTGTTGCATAATGTTAGACGGATGCTTATTGAAAATCATATATTTCTAAAATGATTATTTGTTTAAAATTCAAGAACAAAATAGAACGTTCAAACTACAGGGAGGAACCAACATGAAGACTAGGATAAGATTTAAACATATTATTCCTTACATTTCTTCCTCTTCCTTCTTTATTTTACTTAGACACTTTTTGGGAAAAAAAAAAAGTAATTGTATGAATTTGGATGGTTCATGTGAGATCCCATGTCGATTGGGGTGGAGAACGAAATATTCTTTATAAGGGTGTAGAAACTCCTCCCTAACAGATGCATTTTAGAAATCTTGAGGGGAAACCCATAGAGAACAATAACTGCTAGTGGTGGGCTTGGGCCGTTATAAATGGTATCAGCGCCAGACACCGGGCGATGTGCTGGCGAGGAGGTTGAGCCTTGAAGTGGGGTGGACACGAGGTGGTATGCCAACAAGGATGTTGGGTCCTAAAGGGGGTTGGATTGAGGGGTCCCACATTGATTGGAGGAAGGAACGAGTGCCAGCGAAGACGTTGGACCCCAAAAGGGGGTGGATTATGAGATCCCACATCGATTAGGGAGGAGAACGAAACATTCAGAAACCTCTCCCTAGTAGACGCATTTTAATAATCTTGAGGGGGGTGGATTGAGGGGTCCCACATAGATTGGAGGAAGGAACGAGTGCCACCGAGGATGCTGGATCCCGAAAGGGGGTGGATTATGAGATCCCATATCGGTTAGGGAGGAGAACGAAATATTCTTTATAAGGGTGTGAAACCTCTCCCTAGTAGATGTGTTTTAATAATTTTGAGGGGAAGCCTGAAAGGGAAAGTCTAAAGAGGACAATATCTACTAACGGAGTGCTTGGACCACCCTTGTGCATGTATCATTTTTATAACACTGTTATTTTTCTAATTTTCAGGTGGGAAGCAGGACTTCTAGCTCTGGGGATTGGCTAAAACAGACCAACGGGAATCAACCACGGCACACAAAGCAAGGAAATTCAGGTGTGTGAATTGAAATATCAATCCTGTTAAAATTGATGGGCAGAAGGGTATGATATGCAAATTCACGAACCACAGGAACTTCCAGAGTATAATTTGTAACGATTTCTAATAATTAAAAAGATAAGAGCAAAAAGGGCTAGAAAGGAAAACCAAAGAATGTAATTCGTTCCCACGAAACAAGAAATCAAGTTATGCCTAACAAAAACCAGATCTGATAATTTCAAGGAGGGAGCTTGGAGCCTTGTCATCTGAGTTCATCTCTATACTATGGAGGACAAGATGGATATTGCGAGGCCCCATCAGGTGGACCATCCCCACCCCCACCGTCCACTGTGAGTATTCTTTGTTGATCAATTTGGATCATTCCCAAAGATTTGAGCTAGGCTGAGACTTTTATTTGACTGATCAGAAAGAGAAAGTAAAACTGAGTGTTCTTCTGTTGTTGCCAATTCATTGATGACCCAGTTGAAGAAAAGTGGGGGAGAAGATGATCCAAATGGAAACAACTCTCAACCTGCTTCTAGGGGAAACTGGTGGCAAGGTAATAATGTAATGGTTGAAGTTCTAGAAATCTGTTAACTGATCCATTTTAGTCTCTGATTTCAAATACTTTTTGTAGGTTCCCTTTATTATTAGGACCTCTGCCTTGCCTTGGCGGCACATGAATCCCCACCTATTTTCTAAGGTATGTTTATGTCGTCGTATGCTGTCCTGTTGTCTGCGTAAGGTGCATATTTTGAAGCCTTTTTGTTAGTTACGATAGCACATGTGGACCCATTTTTTCTTTCGGGCTTCCTCTCAAGGTTTTTAAAACGCGTCGATTAGGGAGAGATTTTCACAACCTTATAAAAAAATGCTTCGTTCTCCTCCCCAACCGATGTGGGACCTCACAATCCACTCCCCTTCGGGGTTCAGTGTCCTCGCTGACACTCATTCCCTTCTCTAATCAATGTGGGACCCTCCAATCCACTCCCTTCAGAGCCCAGCGTCCTTGCTGGCAAGCAGCCTCTTGTCCATCCCCTTTAGTTTGAAAATGGTGTGGAGTTTTCTGCATTCCCTTTTCTCAAATTCCTAGTTTATATATATAAAATGGTTCTTCCTAATAATGAATGATATCTATGGATAATTGCAAATTAAGCTCTTCCACTAGAAATGTGAACACACCCATTCCTAATCGCACCACTTTCTTAAAAGATTGTAAATGAGTATCTTGCGCCTGAACCCACCGAAATGAAAGCAATGTGAATGAAAAGCACCAAACTAACCAAACTCGACTCACCATGCACTTGTCACAATTTCACAGCGGACCGTTGCGATCGTGCGGTACTCACTCCCAACACTGAGAATGACTCGGTAACAAATGTTCAAGCCTCTAGCTCTGTTTTGAGAAGAAAGGTTTAGAAAACGAGGTGGAGAGATTTTTGAAAGCAAGATTGAAAACACAAACAGAATTTGCCTATAGTATATTTTGTGGTAATTTAGATTTGGTAGGCCTAAACGTGATTTTGCCAAACGGTCGTACAAAATCTAGGTATGAGGAGTTTATAATTAGTCGGGTTGACGATTGGTCACATCTCCTACAATATATTTTGGGACATTTCAGGTCTATTAGGCTAGACAAGGCTAGACATGATTATGTTGAAACGTCATATACTTCGAAAATATAATAATGAAACTATATATCATGAAAACAATAAATGAAGTGATACAAAACAAGGGTTTTGACATGCAATAAACATGCAGTCATGGACAACACAGCTTGAACAAACATGACCGTCAACCGCCACCGACCGAGAAGAGGAAGCAACTGAAGGAGTGGAGGTGGTGGGGTCAGTGTTGTTGCTTAAATGAATAAAAAGGAGAGGCGTCTGGGAAAGAAACATGTCGGAAGGCACTCATTTTTTAACTTAAGATAAGAATTCCAAAAAGAGATTAAGATCCAAAAGTTGGAATAACATGTTATTTGTTTCCTTTCTTCAACATGATTATCACTAATACACCAAATTTTCACATAAACATTTATTTTCACTAATGACTTGGATTCCATACTCATATTCCCTCACTTTTTATTTAAACTTTTATTTATTTATTTATTTTTACATTATTCGAACAGATTTCGTGCGAATTTATATTGAAATGAAATAATTTTATCATAATTATAAGAAAACAATAAAATAAAATAAAATAAAATAAACTCATTCTTTAATTCTCCCACATGTTTTTAGTGAATATTTGCCTTTATTTATATTTTCTTTTACCAATTTAAATCTCTTTTATCATAATTTCTAATAATAATAATAAATCAATTCTCAAATATCGAAAAGAAATAATAAAAATAAATAAATAAATAGATTTAACTTCTGGTTTAAGTAATGTAAAATTCTCTCTTTTTAGAAATTGAAATTATTAGCCATTAATTAAAAGTGTCCCATAATCTAATTCACATCGAAGAATCCATTTCCAAGTCAAAAGTAGCCGACTTAATTAATCATAGCTTTTTTAAAAAATTAAATAAAATAACTTTATTTATATTTTTTAAATTCATAACGATTTAATTTATCAATGATTTAAACTTTGTGATAAATTAGTTTGTCATAAAACAAAAATTATTAAAATTTAAAATGTGTTTGTAAACCCCAAATGGTTACGTGATTTATAAAATTTATTTAAAATTTTAAAATTCTAACATTTAAATTTTCATCAATAAATTTAGTTTTTAAATTGCAAATTTAAAAAGTTAAAAGATGTTATTAAATCGGACCAATTAGATATTTTTAAAATTAACTAGACGTATAAATATCTAAATTTTAGACACAAATTTAAAATTTGAATTTGGGCTATATTTTAACACAAAAGTAATTATTTCTATTTGAATTTTCCTTTTTTGAAGGAAAAAAAAAACTTAAAAAATTTTATTTTTTAAAAAAATGGAATAATATTCTTTGTACAATAATAGAGTTTGGCAAACGTATTGGTAGTTAGAATTGCAACTAGAAAGGTTGACTCTTAAATTATATTTTAGACAAATGTTATTATTAATTTCTTTATTTTATAATAATAATAAAATAAAAAAGATTCCTTAATTATGTAAATTAATGTACCAAAAAAAGTAGCTAAATATCTATAATATTAAAAATTATGGCTAACATTTTTTTTAAAATGAGGTACATACCTATATTTACGACCTCGATCATAAGTCTAACACCAATAGATTAGTTTGTCAGTGATTCTATCAGCCTATCGTCGATAGGTTGATATCAATTTATCAATGAATATATATCTAAAGTCAACCATAATTAATGATAAACTTCAATACGTGCTAGTTTATACCCTTATTCTCCGACTTCATACATATGTAAAATTGACCAAGGATTGATTTTAATAACTATAATTTCAAATTATTAAAAAATAATAATAATTATAATAATTAGGATTATGCTTACTATTATTGTCAGTTACACCATATTTATCTTAGTCAAATCTACACTTAATAATACACAAATTTCAATGAGATTATTTATTTTGAACACTGACCGAAACGCCACGGCTGTGCTCCGGCGAACGGACCACCACTGTAACCGTAAAAATATTTCGTTGGAGTGTTTCATAAAATACTCTGATCTCTCTGTTTATTGGTCGGTCCCTCCACTTGTTCCTACTCTATAAAGTCCAGACTTACGGCGCATAAATTTCCAATTCTGTCGCTCTTTCTTATTGTCTCTGTATCAGCACCAAGGTGCGGCCATGGCGGTCGACCCAGAAGCCGGAGAGTTCAAGTTTTACACTCAGTTTCAGACAGAACATGGAGATAATAAGCAGAGCCCCTTTGAAGGAGACAATTGGTCGAGCTATTTCTCGCCGGTGGAGTCTGAGATTGGTTCCTTTGAAATTGAGAGCGATAAAGATGATGGTGACGGCGGCGACGAGGATTACACGGCGGAATTGAGTCGTCGGATGGCTCAATTCATGCTTCAAGATGATGATAACTCCTCAACTGCAAGATTTCAATCAGAGATTCAGAATAAGGTATTGAATTTATATAAACGTGGAAGGTTTCAAGGGGGTTTGTGAAATTCTCTGTTTTTTGATTTTGTGGGCTTGTTCTGTTTCTTGTATACAGTCATGGGGTTTGTCTGGTTCGCCTATTTCAACGCTGTGGTCACCTTTAGGCTCGAGCAATGGAAGCAGCTATGGCAGCCCAGAAGGGCCTTCGAAGGAGCCGTCGCCGCCAACCACACCGATGGTTGCAGAGCGGCGGGGGCTCGACATATCACAGAACGTTTTCACCAAATTAGAGAAGATGAAGAAGGTTAGCACAAATGGTAAATCAATCCAAACAAGGCCCCAAGATGAAGAAAATGGATCCTCTTCTTCTTCCAAAGACCAAACAAGAGCTCTCAAAGTGAGATGAGATTCAAATCCCACAAATTTGTCCTTCACAAATCTCTTTTACTCTCTTTTTTTTTTTTTTTTTTTTTA